TCATTCCTCTAACTTCCTTTCACAGAAGTAAACAACTTTTTCAATTTAACATGTCCTGAGTTTATGATGCATTTACTTTTAGTTTTATGTATTTATTAACACAATTATGTCTGTTCATTTGGAGCTATTTCATTTTAAGCTAGGCTCTGTTATATTCTATAATGTAGATATATCATAGTTTATTTAATCATTTCCCTACCAATGGACATTCAGGTTAAGACTTAGACTTCAACTTGGTAGTGACCCAACTGCTTATCTGTAAGTAACTAAACTGTAGTTACCAGGAAATCTAATCCACTGGTGACTCTGTAAACAACTCTACCCCTCCAAAAGATTTATTTCTTAAAGTCTGTCCATAACTAAAAAAAGGCCAAATGAATTTACATAGTTTGACTTTGAGATACAGGCATAACTACATATTTCTATTCAAGTATAAATTCAAAGTAAAATTTTCGATTTATAAAAAGTTACCTATAATATTTTTAGGCTATATGCTTTGTCTCTAAACCCTGCTGGAGAGATTTTAGAAATCACATGGTCAGAAGCCATTTTCTTCTAATTAAAAAATTTTATAAATTTCTTGATCTAAAGTAAGAATTAGTAAATTAGTACATTCTTCATATTCAGGTATCATCTATAAGCAGTTAATGAAAAATCAGAAGGGAAAAGTTTTGTATATCTTACTACTAAGCAACTGCTTTCTTTTTCTCTGCTAATAAATTGCAGGCAGACTTGAACAGATGTCAGGCTGGCATTCAAAACCTAAAATATAGCTGAAAAGCAAGTTATGACTAATACAAGGAAAAAAGATGAATGTCAGAAAGCTTCATTTTTTTTCTCTTTTTTTCAAATTTCAGATAAGCTCTTTAGCCTTAGGGTTCCTTTTACAGAGCCCTGGAGTTCGGCTAGATGTCTTAACCCCCATTTAAATTGCAATCTCTCCTCATGAGTGGGGGTGTGAAAATGCATTTTAAGAGTGTCAGTGTTTATGTTAATCTTAGCCAGAACTCCCTTTCTCCCAAATATGGCTCACACAAAACCTTGGTGCCCTTTCTTCCACTACGTTTTATTTGCACTGTTCTTAGCATGTGAAAGATGTCTGGGTGTGATTGAAAGGCTCCTTATCTTCTCCACAGCTCTACTTCATAGATGAACTACAGTTTTACTTATGATATCAGAAAAAAGAGTTGCTTTCCTCTTGAATTTCAAAAGAAACCTTAAAAATACAGATTGAAAATGGGCTTAGAGAGGAAAGCACAGGGAAAAGACAACCAAAAAGAACACAGCTTCAGTTTCAAAGAATGGGGGCACAAGACCACAACAAGGGGTATTCTTCCCCGCTAGGTGGCCTGCGCGTCCAGAGCCTGAAGATTCTAGAAAGACAGGGAGGCAGAGACCTACAGTCTCTATACCCTTTCTCTTCTAGCTCTTCTGCCAAAGCTCCTTTCTTTGGGTAACTACAGACCTACTCCCCAGATTACATTTAGCAGTTATTCCAGTGTTCATTGAAAAGAATTTAGCTTTTTGTTTTGACAGTTACTATTCAGAGATTGTTGCTAGGGATGCTGAAAAATGAAGTTTCTCTGCAGAAATTCTCTTTGCCAACAAAAGAGCTACAATGAGAATTCAGTAATTCATCAGTCAGTTATTTATCATGAGCATTCTCTACAAATTGCACGTGGGGAACAAGTGTGGTAATATCTGAACAGAAGAATATATTCAATTGCATCTGAAAATGCTCAAGGGCAGCAATCCACTTGCTGCTCTTATTTACCTGAACTTTCAGACACCAACTTCTGATGCTCACTTCTACCCTAGGATTCATGGCGCTGAATGTTATCCCACAAAGTAATAATTTAAGGTCATTTCTAATTAAACATCTATTGTTGGGGGGTTGGAGGACATTTTAACTAAATACCTACTTAGTACTCACTAACATAAAGGTACAGGTCTTGTTTTCTTTGCTAATATTTCCACATACTTCCAAAGAACAGCTGCTACACTTGGGCTACAGACAAGAAAAAAGTAGCTATCCTGATTAAAACAACAGCAAATGCCTCAGGTGATAGTCCCCCAAAGTCATTCCTTTCCTATTTTTACAGATAGCCTCTATCCCTCTGTCTGTCTGGCTTTATGTGATTTCCTTTTCTCTTTAAGGATTTTCTTGGTTTTAATTCTTCAAAGATATAACAAAAGCAAGACGGTGTACACTATGTATCTGAAAGTACTTCAAGAGATTGGAAATTCTATGACAGTTATTTTTATATGTGTCACATCATTTGATCCCTAATTTTCCTGCATAATTGTGGGCCTCTGGTTAAGTCATTTAGTCTTCTTTACCCCCACAGCAATATTTTGTGTGTAACTAACCTACATTTTTAATTTTGAAAAGGAAACACGAAGTTTTACAAGCAAAAGGAAAGAACTATACTACCCAGAAGCATTGTGATCAATCTCATAAACACAATGACAGAAGAAAATTATAAATTTATCATTTTGTAAATTTGAAAAACTGATATATATAGGCAAAAACTCCATTTGGTTAAAATTCCCGTTTACAAAGTAGAAGTTCTCCAGATTCCATGTAAGATAATGATTTGTTCTTAGTCAAAAATAAAGTTATCTGCTTAAAGCAAAAAGCCTTATAACCTACATAAATTATTCCTTTCTAATATTTTTATTTGAATTGATTTAACCGACCATACCCAGTGTCTAATTGAATCCAAAACCATAGTTTTGCCTATTTAGTTAACAAAGAGTAAGAAAAAACAATCAGCCAATTTTGTTCCTACTTGGCAGAGTGAAAGAATGCAGGGTACGCATAAGAGACACTTGTATAATTTTATTTATATTCTATCCAAATGCAGCAATTTTCATTTTTACATACCTTTACCAACTTAATGAGAACTTTATAACCAAAGTGTATCTGGAGTGCAAGGAAGAATTTTACTGTCTAATTCCCCCAGAATTCAAAAGGGGGGGGGAGAAGCTTCTATTAGATAATGAGGAATGACACATACATAGCAAGAGAATTATTTCTCCGTCATTTAGCCATAAAAAAGTAGCTTAATTTTTTTTTAGATTTTCAGAAACTTCATTTAGAATAAAGAAATAATGATTATTCTATTCAGCTAAAAAGCCAAGGTAGCTTTACACTAACTGACTTTTAAATCAAATTGATAATGCATGCTTCTTAAAAGCAAAAAGCCATAAAGAGAAAATACATGACTTTTGTTTAAAAACAACAAAACTTATATTTTGTATAATTGAATTAATGTAAACATCTTAGAAAAAACAAATCCAAAAGAAAGGTTCTGGACAGTAGCACTCACAAAATTCAAATCCACTGTCCTTAGTTAAAAAGCACGTGAATAATAAAAGGCATACAACCATAATTTAACTCATTTAGATACAAATACTAGAAACAGGTTAAGTTCACTAATAAATTCTAAACCTATTTTTATTGAATTTCAAACTCTTGTACAGTTGACAAAGTCACAGACTGGTAGGAGTTTTACTCTTTTATGTATTAACTATGTATGTTACCCCAGACAGGCCCTCAGGAGCAGGATCTGGATAACATACCAACAAGAAACTAACGTCTAATAACGAAATCCTCAAGAGCTTCCAAACAGAAAATATTTATAATCAAAGACACAGCTTACTACAAATGTAGTTATTTTTTTTTATTTGTTGGCTGGATAGTATAAATGTTCAGAGATTGAATCACTAGGTCTCAATCCTGAAAACCAATAAAAATATTTCATATGAAAAGTTTAAAACATTTGGAATCATCCTTTCAACTCTGCTTTCACCCAAATACACTTAAACAATATTTCCATGTCTGGATCAAAAACTTTTCTGGATTTATTGTGCCTTAAAATACACTACCATGATAGTGAGTTATCCCACTTTTTACTATTTTCCAAATTAGAATTCTGTTTTTTATGGACTTGGCCTTTGTATCTTTCAGATAAAAAGTATGCTATTGTCATTTCAAGGTGTATAAAACTCAGGTGATGAGGGTCTCTGTCATTTTCTCTTAATCCAATTCCAAACTCGACCTTTACCCAGTGAACAGGTGTGTGCCGTGCCTGTAATTTCTTAGAGTGAGCGACCAGGCAGAAAAGCTATCAACAATAGGGGGCTAATACAATCCAAGTACTTAGTGCCTAAAAAGCAGTTCTTATTCCCACCATGATGAATATACTTTTATCTCCCAGTAGCAATTTAAAGAGAAAGAATGATGAGGGAAGGGGAGTAACATATTTGTATTCCCTCTGTTTTTCTAGATCCTGTTTTTACACTAATAGACTGCCAGAAGCTATTATGTTATAAATTCCTTTCTCAGATATTCTGTTGCTCACATTCCAATCCAGCGGATGATATGGATATGAAAGCAGTCATGACAGCATTTCCACTGGGCAAATAAAGTCACTTCACACAGATAAATTAAATAAACCTTCAAGAGGAAAATGATAAATGCATAGAGCATTTCTTTATATGCAATATGGAAACCCCTGTGTATATCCTGAATTTGTCTTTTTGGATCAAGCTTATCTAATTTAAAAACATGCCATGTATCCATCTATCAGGTATGAAGATATACTAATGAGATAATGCGATGGTACCAAAAAAAAAAAAAGCAGCAGCATAGATAATGATTAATAATAACAATAATAATCATAGATAATGATTATTCAGCAGGGTAAACCTGACCCATAATGAATCTTTAGAATCAGGTAAAATTTCTAAATATGCCCTATGGAAAAAAAATTCTAAACTAACTAAATAAGTTGAACAACCCAAATATTATTTCTATGATTTTACCATAAAATTAAAGATTCTGAAAAATTTTCAAAAAACTTATTTTTTAAAAAAAGTTAAAACTGAAAAAAATATTTTGGCAGATTTGAATAATTTCAAAACCACTGAAAAGAGATTATCATTTAATTTTTTAAAAATATAAACTTTTATGAAATTTTCCCTTTTGAACTCACCCATCTGCTCCACAATCTCTGGAGGAAATACGCGCGAAGCAAATGCTCGTCGAAAAATGTCTGAAAATTCTTTGTCCAGACCTCCTATTCCCATTTTCTCAAAGTTCCAGTCAGGATTTATGATAGATTGGCGATTTTCCTTGGTTTTAGATTTGCCTATGTTAAATAAATATAATCAAATATGAAACAACAACTTCACCTCCAAGTGTAAAAACACAGATAGATACTCTCTGGTCATCTCAAGTGAACAGACAAGCTACCCTTATTCAAAGAAGAACATACCCTTAGAGGATTTTCTAATAAAAGGAGTGAGTTTGCTTTATCTACTTTGGTTGCATTTATGGTAAGTAATAAATTTTCAAAATGACTAGCTAAACTTATGCTATAGTCTACTTGTCATCAATTCACAGAACTTGTTTTCACTAGCCTTTAATCTAACCAAATTAATTAACTTGGTTGATTATTAGAAACACCACATGCATATCAAATGAAGACAACACTAGTTGCTAGAAAGGCAACGGAAATCTAGCAATCTCTGAAAGCTCTTAAAAAGTTAAGTTATATTTAAAAATACATGTACTTGTCTAGATTAAGCTTATAATCAGTACGTAACCCCCCCTTAGCCTAAGAAGATACACTAGTGAGTTTGATGTCTTATTTGCTTTTTTTCAAATGTCCACAAAAGTCTAAAATCACTCTAAAGACCATTGACTACAAAATTCATGTTTACAGATTCCCTTACAAGGGTAAAAAATATCTAATTTAAATGTCAGAGTGCCACCTAAAGTAACTTAACAGAATCACATTTACTATTTCACATACAAAGAACAAGTTACCTTAGTACACTCTACTATTAACAACAACAACAAAAAATAAGAACATAGTTTTTATACAGTCAGGGAAGAAAATATCATATTTTAAAAAGTTTAAAATATCACATTAAAGAAATTTTATGGTTAGAGTTTTGAGATTTCTTTTAGGCTATCAAAAATATTTTGCTTACATTCTACTGCCCTCTTGTGGTCAAATTCACTGCAAGCCTATCACACCTTTGCTTGGATTACTTGGAAATACCTGCATTGTGTGAAAGTTATGCAATGCCCTTAAGATAAAATATCTTAACAAAAGTTGTAAAAATAAATAAATAAATAAATATGTGTGTTGGATCAAAAATATATTGGAACATACCCAGCATTTATAAAATGACATTATATAGTCATAAAAAATTATATGTAGAGGTATACTTAAGATGCTTGAAAAATGTTAAACCAAAAAAAAAAAAAAACACTCAAAAAATTATAAAACACAGTATAAAAATAAAAATTTAGAATATGAGTTGTTTTAAAGGGAATGTCTATCTATATTTTATAATTAATATAAACAATAAGATAAAATAAATAAAAGATAAAATAAAATTGATGGACCAAGAAAATAGGCCACACATGTAGAGAAAGTTACATAAACTTGAAAATGATAGTGTGCAGTAGTGTGCAATCAATGAAAACCCTCTACTTTCTAATGTAGTAGACATGAACATAGTTAAATTGATCAAAAGTAAGAATTATTATTCAGTTAATAGCACTGCTATTTTGATGAGCTACTGTTCTTCAATACTAAATTGCATTATTTTAATATAATAAAAGTAGGGCTGGGCTGGGATTGTGGCTCAGTGGCAGAGTGCTTGCCTCACATGTATGAGGCACTAGGTTCAATCCTGAGCACGACATAAAAATAAATAAAGGTATCCTATCTAGCTACAACTAAAAAAATATTTTTAAAAAAGCAGGGCTAAAGAACAAGAATGGAACTGGATGGACTATGAACATAGTCCAAAGCATTCATCCTTTGATCACTAATAAAAGTGATGACAGTATCTCATTTAATACAACCACCAGATGACCAGTTATAATTGACCAGTTTTCAAGGTCATGAAAGATAATAAAATTCTGAGAAACTACACTAAATGCAATATCAGATGATCCTGGACCAGAAAAAGAACATAATGGGAAAAACTGGTGAAATCCAAATAAAGTCTATAGTTTAGTTAGTAGCATTGAAACTGCTATTTTAATGAGCTACTGTTCTTAATTTCTTAATTTTGTTAACTATACAGGGTTATTTAAGATGTTTACATCAGAGGAAGTTTGTGAAAGGTAGATAGTAGTTCTCTGAGCTATTTCTGCAAATCTCCTATAAGCCTAAAATTATCAGAAAATTTAAAGTTAAAAAATTAATTTCATTGTTTCTTTTTACTTATTTTTAGTATAGCTATTAGGAAATTTAAAATTGCATGTTTCATATTGTATTTGGATATTCTATTTGGATAACACTGATCCAGATGAAGATTTTAAACTTTTTCATCAGAATATCTGACAAATATGAAATATGCCATGATTTTGGGATAAGCCATCTCACAGGAAGGATATTCCCCTCTTTTCCTTCCCTGCTTGAAAATCACTTTAGTTGAATCACATTTAATAATAGTTCCATTTCACTTGGAATTTTTTAAAACTGTCTCTCTTACCAATAAGATTGAGTGATGAATTTTCTGCTTTTTCAAATGCGACTTGACTATTTCCAACAACCAGTCCTACTTCAATCTACACAGAAAGATAATAATTAATAGGCTAATAGCAGACTTTTGGACTTCTCAATGCAAGGCAAAAAATGAAGAAAAAATGAACTTTCTGTGCAAAGCAAATCTCCCCCATTATTATTTGAGTCACTTTTACTTTTTTTATATACATCCTATAATTGCTACATGCTTTATTTCAATAATGCTCTTCTTCTTTATTTATAATAAACATCTTTAATTAATATTGTTTATGTGCAAATACAAATATGTAACAAATCCCACCATTGTGTACAGTTCTAATGCAACAATTAAAAAATGGGAAAACAAAAATAATATCTTCATTCAGCTAAGATTATGAATACTTATACAAGCCTCAAATTACTATTAGGTCTGCAAATAACTATATTTTAATTTGTATATTAGTAACAATGCTTTATGAAAGCATTTTTTCCCTACCAAAAAGAAAATTCACCATATGAAAAAATGCAAAGCAAGTAAATAGTTAGGAAAATTATATTAATCTGCACAATTCACATCACAAAGTCACAAAGGTTATTTAATAAAGATTAGAAACAAAGCACACCTTCTGTTTTTTACCAGTTGCAGGCTCTCCCTTCAAGATGCTAGGATCCATGGCTTCAATATCCTTCACCAGTAAACCAAAAAGCTTTTCATTGAAGCTAAACACAAGCTATGTAGAAAAGAGATAAGGGGAGAAATTTTATTTCATGATATAATGGCCTGATTCTCACATTATCACCAATGTTTTCCAAATGCAGAAAACCAGTTTTTACCTCTCTGAATATGCTCCACCAGCACACTACTTACATAGCCAATGAGAATAAAAGGGAACTACAATTTATTATCTGCTAGGGATCAAACACTTTAGGAGGTTACATAATGAATTCTGCCAAACATTCTCGGGAATAGAAATTCTAAGCAATGAGGCTCAGAGTCACAGTAAACAATGCCCGGATGTATGACTCTAAAATTCATGCTTTAGCTGGGGATGTGGCTCAAGCGGTAGCGCGCTCGCCTGGCATGCGTGCGACCCGGGTTCGATCCTCAGCACCACAAACAAACAAAGATGTTGTGTCCGCCGATAACTAAAATAAATAAATAAATAAATTTTAAAAAATAATAAAATTCATGCTTTAGATTGTACAAAATGCCTGCCACACAAATGCAGAAACAGCTCTGAATGCTTAATCATTAATTCACCAAGTACTTGTTGAGTGCCTTCTACAATCTAGACCCTCTTCCATGAGTTGGAGTACAAAAGTACTACTACTAACCACTACAAATGAGAGTAAATACTAGGAATAGTGATTTGGGCTAAGATATTTACTTTTCTTTATTCTGGAGTGTTTTCTTTCATGTATTTATTGACACATACATGTTATTGAGTTTACAATGAAAACAAACACCAAAGCATTTTCTATTAAACATTCTTCTAAGCATTTTTTACTAAGATACTAAAGCTAAAGGCAAAGGTAAAAACAATAAAGTTTAGGTAGGTAATCTGCATATAATTATTAGCCAAAATATGCAGGAATCCGTAAGGGATAAAGCATAGCCCCCAAACCAATGGACAGGTAGTTAACAATTATCAGCTAAATGGCATTTGGGGGAGCATTCTATACCATTCAAAACAAAACTGCACCAGTGGAGCACTGGGTCCACTTACGTCAGAGTACTTCCCACATGGCATTTCTAAGCCATTAGGGATCAGAATGCTAGAGAACAGCAAATCTCAAGCATTTTAATCTCAGAATGCCTTTATATACTACTAAAAATTCTGAGGACTCCAAAGAGCTTTTGTTTATGTGGATTAGACCCACTGACATTCATCATATTAGAGATTATTAGAACAAAAAACTTTATCATTAATTTAAAATTAATAATGATAAATCTATTATGTGTTAACATAAATAACATTTTTAATTTAAAAAAAACCTATTTTCTGAAACAAAAATAAGAGGAGCTTTGCACAGAACAGATATATCCAAGATATGTGATTAAAAAGTAAGGGAGTTATACTTACTAAGTCTGCACAATTCTAGTCAGAAAAATTTTAAAGTAGCTTTCAGCTTAAGATGTCATATGTAGTTACAGTGAGAAGAGTGGTGCTGTCACATTTTTCTAAATTTCTTTGATGTCTGGTTTATGGCAAGCACCTCACATCTGCTTCAAAAGTCAGTGCACTGTGCTAGCACAAACCACATAGTCAGCAAACCTCCACCACATACTTGTGGAAGAATACAAGGAACATGACAAAAACATCTTGGCACTATTATGAAAGTAGTTTTGACTTTGTAGATCCCTGAAAAGGTCTCAGGGAACCCCAGGGTCTCTTCTGGACCACACCTTAGAACTGCTGCTGTGGAGCTAAGGTATGAGGAAGGAGTCTGAAATGACTAAGAAAGTCACTAAGAAGGAGACAAATGTGATGGGAAGGTCAAAAGAAAATGCTCATATGAACTCACATTTAAGTAAAATTTTGAAAAAAAGAAGAATCTTTCTTAGGAGGTTAATTATGTGATATTAACTGAAGTCCAAATAAAGGACAATACTGACAAATGTCTTCTTTTATTTCTTTGTTTGGCTGTGCTTGGAATTGAACCCTGGGCTTGGCACAACTTGGTGAGGTATACCCGCACAACTTGGTGAGGTATACCCACAGTCCTTGGCAAATGTTTTTTAATGAAGGTTTTGGCTTTAAATTTTCTACAAAAAAAAAAAAATGAATATATACACAATTTTTTTAGATTCTCAAATCCATAACCAAAAGATGTCATGAACTACTTTTTGTACAGAAATACATTAGGAAAAGATATCCCAGAAATAAAACAAATGTCCTGCAATTAAAAAGAAAGAAAGAAACTCAGATTTATATCTGCAATGTTCCTAAATTTGCAGAGGGAAAAGCAACTGTAACTACATATGACATCTTAAGCTGAAAGCTACTTTAAAATTTTTCTGACTAGAACTGTGCAGGCTTAGTAAGTATAACTCCTTTACTTTTTAATCACATATCTTGGATATATCTGTTCTATGTAAAGCTCCTCTCAGTTGTTAAAAAGTAGAAGTAATTTTGGATAACAACAGGGATTAGAATACCTATTAAATGAAAGGAAATAAAGAAAACTTAGACCTACCTGCTGCCCCACTGAGAAAGCCTGGTTGTTGAACTGTTGAATAAATTCTGCTGCCATCTTGTCGGTATCATAAGGGTTGGAGTCGATGTTTTTTTTCTGCAGGAAATCAATCTCGATGGTCATTGTGCCAATACACTGTTTAGCTTTGTCAAATGTATACAAGGAGACTAAGGGGGAAAAAAGAAGCATTTAAAAAAAAATTATAAGGACACAAAATTCTTTCTATGTTTCTAGTAACTTAATTTTCAAATAAATGAATCATAACAGCACTTGATCAAAAGAGGCTTAATACAGCCTTCATTAGAGGGACACACAGGCATAGATTTAAAAAATAATAGCCACTAGAGATTTTCTTCCTCATCTGAATTCATTAGAAAATACTGAACAGCCAGGTGCGGTGGCACACACCTTTTCCTCCTTCTCCTTTAAACAGAGGACAATGTGACAATATTAGAAGTCCCAGTAGAGTTGACATAGCAAGTGCTTTCCAAAGAAGATTTTTATTTGACACAAGAAAGAACCACAGTTAGAGGTAGGTAGATTCTTTTGTCCAGGAAAGTAAGATGGAGGGGGTTAAAAAGAAGCCTTGGGAAATATGTTTAATAGGGAGATTTACTCTAAAGCAAGTTAGAATGTGACATTTCTAATGCTATGATAACATTTACTGAGCACCTAACTCTATCAAGGAAATATAGTAAGTTTTACATGTAAATTTAGAAAAGAAAAATATATATATAAAATAAATAAATAAATAAATAAATAAATAGATGTTCTAGAGCCTTAAAATAGAGGGAGTTGTGAGAATGTAGTTCTAAATACATATATCTTCTTTATTAGTAATTATATATTTGTCACATAAAAATAGTACTCTTGATATATTCAGTTTTGTGAGTAAATTTCAACTTTGTCTTTTTTAATTGTATTTATTAAAATAGTTAAAAACTAAAAAAATAAATAAATTTAGAAAAGGACAAGAGCCATGTTTTTAACTCATTTTTATATTAACAGTGTCTAACAGTATTTTTCATGTGCTTAATACATTCATGAACTGCATAAATGAAACAACAGCAAAAATTCCCATGATATCCATGCTAATAACAAAGGAAGCAAGACAAGCATATATAAAAATCTTTAGATAAGAAAATTCCTATTCAAGCCAAGTAAAAAGTTCTAAAATGGCTTTTAGGTTACACTGTCACCAATTTAAATATTAAAGCATACATGCAATTTTATATCATATAATAACTATTCAACAAAAATCTTTAATTACATAACACACAGTTCAAATAACATAGCTTTAGAAAAATAGGTAAAAAGAAATGTTCCTAAATGACATACCATTACAAAGAAGCATTTCTGTAGGACAAAGTCTGATTTTTGTATTTTTGTTGTTGTTGTTATTGTTGTACTGGAGATTGAACCCAGGAGTGGTTAATCACTGAGTCACAACCCCAGCCCTTTTTTTATATTTTACTTAGAAACAGGGTCTTGCTGAGTTACTTAGGGCTTTGCTAAATTGCTGAGGCTGGCTTTAAACTTGAAATCCTCCTGCCTCAAGCTTGGGAGCTGCTGGGATTACAGGCTTTGTCGAATGTATATAAGGAGTCTAGGGGGAAAAAAGGAGGTGGCATGCACCTCCCCCAGATTTTTAAGTCAGATTGAAAAGTGTATTTTTTTAAAAAGTATCACATTACATCATAATGTATTGGGATCATTAAGAAAGAATAGAATAAGCTACCAAGAAATCTTCAAGGGAATTTTTGCATTTTGAGTTTCCCCAAAAAGAAAATTTGATTATGTCCAGTAAATTTTTTTTTTTTTTAAGTTTATCACTGGGCTGGGGTTGTGGCTCAGCAGTAGAGTGCTCACCTTGCATGTGAAAGACCCTGGGTTCTATCCTCAGCACCACATAAAAATAAATTAATAATAAAGGTATTGTGTCCAACTACAACTAAAATATAATTTTAAAAAAGTTTATCACTGCTTTTTGATAGGGCTTAATGCATACAAACTTTACATTCCTCCTGTGTTCCCTATAGATCACTGTCCTAAAATTTGCCAATGGTCTCTTTAGAATACAGTAGAAGTTCTTCTAAGCAACCTCCCCTGAGCTGACTCACAAAAATTTTTTACTCCTCCCATATATACCACTCTGCACGTGGCTTGCCTAATGCACAGTTTGCAAGTTCCTCATGTGCCACTGGAGTGCTACACAGCATGGATTAACTATGTTCATCTTCTAATCTGTTTATGCTAGTTTTATTATTACAGGAACTATGCCATACAATTAAGTAGTATAATAACTTGACATTTGGGCATTCTAGAATTGGTATTATAAAACTAAGTGGAAAGTTTCAAAGAAAATCTTAAAAAAGTTTTTTTTCCTAAAAAGCATCACTAAAATGAACAAGAAAATCAGAAAATATTAGAGGAGAAATCCACAAAAATCCAAAAGGATTCTGCACTTCTAAATGATTCAAAAGGTCTAAGCTCTACTTCGATCTCAAAAAAAATCTATATAGAAATTATAGTTGAAGTTTTTATGTACAAAAGACAACACAAAAGTTGTACTCCAATTGTGTATAATGAATCAAAATGCATTCTGCTGCCATATATACCAAATTAAGATAGATAAATACAATTTTTTAAAAACCACAGGCTTTACAAATATTTTTAAAACACAACAACAACAATAACAACAACAAAAACAAAAAGACAACATAGAACTCCGATCTATAGACCAAAACTACAGGAAAAGGCTTTTAACCAAGTTTACAATTAACTTCTAGTCCCAGTCACATCTGATAAGTTTCTACAGTTGTCAAAAAAAAGATTGTATTTTTACATTTTCTTTGGACAAGAGGTATGGCACTTTTGTGAGTTAGCATGGTAAAACAGCAAGAAGCTAAACAGAAAAGTCACTGTAGTGTAGCTTTCAATTGATCTACCATTATTACAAAACAAGTGTTGCAAAGATTCTAGTGGTTTGCAAACCTAAATATTCTCTTCAAAGGGGATTTTTGAGTCTCTGAGTTTCCATGGATCCAGCAGGAATCCACATAAATCATTTAAGCTCTCTGTGCCTTCATTCATCACATTTGTAAATCAAGAGGACTGAACTAGGTGAGTCTTTGTGGTCACTCATACTCCAAATTCTATTCTAAGCTTATTTCTTATATTCTAACCACTTGAGTTATGTATAAGAATTTTCTGTAAATTCTTTGAATTAAATGACTTGTGTAATCATATTTTTATATTTGGCTTACTATCTCTTAAAGGGGGCAAACATATTTAAATATTTCAAAAGCAAAGTAACAAAGCCTGATTAAAATGGAAAAAGTATCAAAGATCAAAGAATAAGTTTGAGTCATGTCTGAAAGTTTCAGAATACTCTCCTGCTCCAATTTTGGAAGTTTTATTTCTTCTTAATATTTCCTAGAAAGTACAGGTTATTTGCTAAGTAACTTTTACAGGCCAGAGAGATTGTTTCCTCTATATCATGAAAAAATACTTAAATATTAATGTAAAATATTAATGAGTTACTTAGGAATTCCACTGTTCTAGAAATGCCCTTGACCTTTGCCTAAAAAGGGATTTATAGAAAGGCTCATTGCAATACTTTTGTCAAACACTGAAAAACATCGGTAGGGAAACAATGAATAAAATGCAGTAGATTCAGAATGTGGAACACTGAATAGCAATTTTTATTAAAATAAAAACTTTATATTTAATAAAGATGGATGGCCCATGACACAAATTATTGAGTGAAAAAAACATATTTCAGAAATATTTGCATAGCAAGAATTAATTTCAAAAATCAATAAATGGTATGGATTCAAACTAAAAAGCTTCTCTCAGCAAAAGAAATAATCAGTGAGGTGAATAGTGAGCCTACTAATTGGGAACAAAGTCTTACCACATGCCCATCAGCTAGAGCACTAATGTCTAGAACATATAAAGAACTCAAAATCTTAATACCAAAAAAAAACCCCGATCAATAAATGGGCCAAGGAACTGAACAGACACTTCTCAGAAGATGATATACAATCAATCAACAAATATATGAAAAAAATGTTCAACATCTCTAGCAATTAGAGAAATGCAAATCAAAACTACTCTAAGATTTCATCTGACTCCAATCAGAATGGCAGCTATTAAGAATACAAACAACAATAAGTTTTGGCGAGGACGTAGGGAAAAACACACACTCATACATTGCAGGTGGGACTGCAAACTGGTGCAGCCAACATGGAAAGCAGTATGAAGAATCCTTGGAAAACTGGGAATGGAACCACCATTTGACCCAGCTATCCCATTCCTCAGTCTATATCCAAAGGACTTAAAAACAGCATATTACAGGGACATAACCACATCAATGTATATAGTAGCACAATTCACAATACTAAACTGTGGAACCAACCTAGATTCCCTTTAGTAGATAAATGGATAAAGAAAATGTGGCATATATACACAACAGAATATTATTCAGCATTAAAAGAGAATAAAATCATGACATTTAAAGGTAAATGGATGAAGCTGTAGAATATAATGCTACATGAAATTAACCAATCCCCCAAAAAATCAAATGCCAAATGATTTCTCTGATATAAGGATGCTGATCCATAATATACTGTTGGTGGATGGGATGGGAAGATTAAATGAACTCTAGATAGGGCAAAGGGGAAAAGGGGAGGGGGGAGGCATAGGGGTAGGGAAGATGGTGGAATGTGATGGTCATCATTACCCTAAATATATGTAAGAAGATATGAAGGATGTAAATCTTTGTATCTGGTTTGTGTACAACCAGAGATATGAAAAACTGTGCTCTGGGCTGGGGATGTGGCTCAAGCAGTAGCGCACTCGCCTGGTATGCGTGCGGCCCGGGTTCGATCCCCAGCACCACATACAAACAAAGATGTTGTGTCCGCCAAGAACTAAGAAAAAATAAATAAATATTAAAATTCTCTCTCTCTCTCTCTCTCTCTCTCTCTCTCTCTCCCCCTCTCTCACTCTCTCTTAAAAAAAAAATTGTGCTCTATATGTGTAATATGAAGATGTAAATCTTCGTTATCTGGTTTGTGTACAACCAGAGATATGAAAAATTGTGCTCTATATGTGTAATATGAATTGTAATGCATTTTGTTGTCATATATAACAAATCTAAAAT